CGTGAAAATTAAGCTGAGCAATGCAAAATTCAGCGAGGCACAGACTGTGTGTGCCCGTATCTTAGTGTGCTTGCAGTGTTCCTGTGTTATTGGTATTTACCTGTTGCTTTGGTCGGAAACAGGCATAGCGATGTGCATCCATACTTGCAGCACTTCTTAACACCGGGGCAATCCTGATCGGTTTTACACTGACTTCCGCACTTCCCGAATCTCACATTTGGTGGAATACTGGAAGGGCATTCAGCAGGGTACGGCGTCTTCTTTTCTGCAATTGCATTTCGTTAGTGCCTTCTAAGAAGTGCCCTTTCTAGACATTTTGATGTAACACGTGGTGAACTTCAACGCTGCTAACCCCTTCTTCCCGTGTCTGACCTCTGAATAAGGGGTTAGGTCATCAGAAACCAACTTCTGCTAAAACGGATCAAACACCATCTTGAACACGGATCAAATACACCATCCACACCAAACGGATCAAACACACCATCCTTGCCAAGGATCAGCCTCTCTCATTTAGCAGACTTAGCCTTTTATTATGTCTGAGAAGGACTGCGAAGTCAACAGACACGTGTCAGTGGAGTCGCCAAATTTTATCCCCTGGACTCTCACTTTCTACTCGGTCTTATTCTTGCTGCGTAGTTTCAGCATTTTGAAAACAATTCAAAAAATCTTTGCAAGACCAAATCTGTTTGCAGCTGGGCGATACGGGCAACGCTGCACAGCTTTCGTCATCCAGGCGCAGCTGTCGTGCAGCCAGGTACTATTTGTTTCAGGAGAAAGTCAGGCTTCGCTTTTTGAAGCAATATCTGATTTCACGTGAAGCTGACATAAACGATCAGTTTGAATTAATTATTTTCTCACCGTTAGTAGTTAGCTGTTCTGGAACGACAATTGACCGTTCAGTAGAATGGTCAGCCCGGATGGCAGCAACAGGCATACATTTCAAACTGCAACCATCAAAGCAGCACTTAGCGTTTGTTGAGCAGTCCGAATCAACATGACATTCTGACACACAGTGCCCATTAGGCCGCGAAAAGTTGGGTAAACAAGTTCCTTTGTGGATTTCTGATTCTGGACGAGGACAACAGAAACCAAGATTATTGAATCCTATCTAAAAATAGCTGATTTTGTGAGAATAAAACAAAAGCAAGCGTTTTATGCCTACACTGCGAATTTTTTACGCGGTTTGCAAAATCGTAATAAAATAAGACCTTTTTTTTCGCTTACAAATTTTTGTTTGCAAAAAACCGTAAGAAAAAAATACTTGATGGCACCAGTGCTCCGGCGAGCATTGCGCAGCATGATCGCATAACGCTGTAACGCCGTTCGATAAAGTCATTGGTAGCGCGTTGGGGCAAGGATTCAGTAAACCTGAAATTTTGTAAGCAGTTTCAGAAACAAACTTTAATTCAAAACCCTCGCTCCATCTCTTCCACCTGGAAGCACAATGGTACCATCATCGCCAAGGACAATTGTCTTTAAGTAGCAGTTGTTCATCAAAGTGTTGTTGTTACATTGAAGACGACTTCGGTTTTTAGCATGCTAGTACGTGTTTATGAGATAAGCGCTTGGAATTAGCGTTTTTGCAGTTAGGGTTCGTCAACTACAGGCACTTTGAATGCGCTACAGTTAAGAGGCAGATTCAGAAAAAAGGGTTTCGGAAAAGCATGAAGTACCTAACTGAAGACATTGATTGGCTGAAAACTCACAACGAGGTACAGGCTGACATGGTGGTCGCGCACATTCTGGCTCTACTAGCTGACATCGGTCAAAATCATTTGTGCATTTTACGCTATCGCAAATGTTCCTGCATTCACAGGTCTCCAGCGGGCAACCATCATCGTCCGTTTTGGTACCAAACTGGCATAATTTCGCGCACAGCCTGCCCGAACAACTTTTTCGTCCTAAACAAATTTGAAGTAAAGAAAATCGCATGGGAACAAGAACTGAGGGTACGATAAATGATAACCAGCGGAACCAACAAATGAATATTACGAACTTTTGATGGGTTTTCCCTTTATGCTAAAAATTGGATTTTCAGTGCGCGGATTTTGAATCTCCAGCCATTTTTGTACGTGCTAGCGCAGTCAAGCGCAATTTATGTTGCCTTTTCGAACAAAAACTCACGTAAACAGTTCGGTAAGCCTGCTTCTTTGAATGCTTTGGTACCAGTAACTTCACTGCCTTTTTCATCAACACACCAGCAATAGCTTTTGTCACACTGTATGTTCTTGAACCTCCCATCAACCGTGCATGCTGGCACGTATCCGTTTGCTAGTGTTTTTTCCGGTAGTCGGCTAATAGCTGATATCAGATGCACGCAGTCTGCAATCCAGCACTGAGCACCATCGGTTTTACACAAACATACAGACGCCACGGGTCTTTACAATATGCTTTTTTGCATTTGCATACGCATAAAAACGCATATAAAACTATGATAAGAAATTTTAAGCCAGGGAGAAGTTGTTGCTTGAAATTGCAGTCATATCTCCGTTTGTCTTGTCGTATGACCCAGATCATTCATAACTTTAGTTTAAAAGTTCAGAACAAAGTAAATCCGAACGCCAGAATTCTACACGAACATGAAATATTTACAGCGACAAAAATTCGTTACTTCAGTCGGTTGTAGTTCATTGGAGATACTTCTAAATAAACAGCTACAGATTCCTGGTAAGTTAAGAGCAATCTTTCATCTGATTCACCTTTCATTTGTTGGGAAAAGTGAGGGTCGCGAAGGATATCCGCATCAGACAACGACATTGCAGCAGCAGAAACCAATATCATGTGACACTGGCAGGTAGCTATTTTTGATGCGTGAAGGAATTATAGATTAAAAAAACACTATCGATGTTTTTCCGGTGAATCGTGCTTGAGCACCTTGCTTCAGCCCATTCTACTTTTCAAACAGTCTTTTTTTGCAAGGCTAATTCCAAAAAACCTGTCGCTTTGTCAGGTGGTGTGCATACACGACCGCAACCATTATCGCAGCACTTCTCCACCCAGGGACACTCCTCGTCGTGTGTGCACTCCAAGATGCAGCTGCTTTTTTTGATGTAATTTTTTGGAGGACAATTTCCGACTCGATTGATTCGTCCTGAAAGTGCCCTGCAAGCTACATTCGGATGTGAAGCCACAGATCAGAACAAATTGGAATTTGGTAGATTTTGGACCACATTATTTGATTTGTACAGTTAAATAAAAACCTAAATTGTCAAGTTTGGTGTAACTTGTTCTGAGGTGTAAAATTTGCTTAAAATCGGTTTTGGATCCGGTGTATTTTGGTGGGTAATGAGGTATGGAAAATAGTTCCAGCTCTTGATTCGATGAATCGCTCTAAAAATTTTAAGAGCTTACGACCTTTTCATTAACATATTGCTCAGCTGAAACTGGGATTTGAAATAGGGAGAAAAAGGAAGACGTCGAAGGATAGTAGAAGGTCAAGGCTCAGGCTTAGCTAGAGGTAATCACGCCAAAATGTTCGTCCCACAACCTCCGTACTTTGGAGTGTGACAATTTGCACCAGCACACATATACACACAAAACACACACGTCTTAATTCGTTTTTTTTTTTTATGCAAAAACGCTCGGTGATAACCACACCAGTAGCCTGCAGAGGATGGATTGAGAGCGAATCAAGGAGCGCGAGTGGAGCCAGAGCCATAACACATTCCCGACCGCAGCCGTTACTGCAGCACTTCAACAGACCGCCACATTCTGCATCGCCACTGCAGCGCTGCACACACGCACCTCCGACCAGACGTGGACACTCGCCGGATTTTACGGATATTCCACTGCTGCTGCTCGTCGGCGGCACTAAAAACAGTGGCTGCACTTACTAAAAAACTTTACTTTCACCAATGCAATGGCAACAGGAGGCTGGGCTAGTTTCGGATTTCAAATACGAAAAGCGGTTTCGACCTTCTACAGACGATGATATAGCCAGAAGCTGTAAAGCAGTGCCAGAAATCGTACTGCTCTATCACTTACCTATTTGTGGTATGCAAAACGCTGTGCCATCGTTGTTACGGCGACAGTATTCAGTCGGAGCACAAATTTTCGCCTAAAATATCTCTTCTGATGAGTGAATATTCTTTTTTTTCTGCTTCAATCAAAAAATTTCAAAAAATATTTTCCGGTAGCGTCCCGTTTTCCTTCATTGTCGTATCCCACAAACCAATTGTAACGAATCTTTTGTCGTGCCTCAATTTTAATCCTTTTTGACAAAGAAGGCGCTCCACTTTTCAATCGAAACAACTCTTTCAATGCCAGAACAGCGAAAATGGTATTCGTTTCGCATTTTTGCCTTGACCTCTTTGAACAGGAAGGTAATTACAGTCCCTACGCTACACTTTAGGATTAGTAAATTTAGAACTGTTGAGCCCAGTTTCTCGCTTTTCTATAGCAGTTTCACACTCCCCGACTGATTTAGTCCCTAGCTCCTGAAATTTGTGCACCGGTATTTTTGACTTTTGATTTTTCCTCCTGCGGCGGGTTCTAGCGCAAATTTACTGCAACAGAAGAAGGCAATAGCCTGGTTACGCCACTACTGTGCTGCTGACAGTAATTAAAGCAATTTGAACAGAAAAATCACAGCTTTTAATAAGTACACGCTTTTAGAGACCCAAAAACGATGATCTGAGCAACAGACTTTTAAGATGCATTAAAATGTTGAACACTGCATTCCGACCGATATCGACAATTTCCAGCTTGGATTGTAGTTCGAAAAAAAAAAAAAGATACACTGATAAGACGTACAAAACAAGGATCATCCTGGCAAGAGCACAAGCAAGTTCCGGTAAGAGCGAAGCGATAACCAAACGGACAGTGCAGTTCGCAACCTGGTGGACGTTGTGGGCAAGAATGAGCAGCGGTGATGCCAATGATTGGATGCGGTAAATAAGTTGTCTGAGGGAGCAAAACAGCCGGCAGTGATAAGTGATGGAGGATAACAATAACTGGCCGAAGCAGCATATCACAGTGAACATACCATTGTCCGGAGGGCTGGCTAATTAACCACCTACCCGTGCCTTCCGTTCAGGAAAGGGGCGGTTGCTTGTTCGCTCCTCAGTCGCCGCCCTCCTCTCTTCTTATTGCCCATCAGTGCTTCTGCCCGTTGTCATTAACATGGCTAGTAATCACTCAGGCGATTACTGTACCCACTGCGCAAACAGAAGGCTTTGGATTCGTCAGTGAAATATTGTCGTCAAGCTGAGAATCAGCAGGTAGGCAACTGCAGCACTGGAAAGGATAATGATGCCAACAGTTTGACGATTGCCATTATTACCACCACTGGAACCATCATCATTATCATCGCTGTCATCATCGTCATTACCACCACCATCATCATCATCATCATCATCATTCCGATAACTCTTCGGGTCTATTATAAATCCTCCGACTGGAGGTTTTGTGTATGAACCAGTGAGGTATACGCATGCATGTGGTGATTGTAATGCCCCATTCAGAGAGCTGGCCCCCGTCAATAATACGGGGCTGAATAGAATCCGCCTGCGCCACCCCATTCGTGACATAGTTCTACTCGAAGATTTATTTATTCGCCACTTCCACTATTCAAAAAGTTCCAAAATAAAACTCAGTAACAATTATAACATGCATCCGTGAGATCCTCCTTGCAAGATTATGATATTTAAATTCGCAAAACATGTTTGCTCTCAGAAAGATTATACAACGCCTCAATCGTTGAAAACAAACGGAGAAAATATCTTCCCAGTGCTCGCTGCTGCGCAGAATTACGGCTTCTCACTCTGGATCACCAAACTGCTTACCTGCTGTCACAACCAACAGCCGTAAATGCCAGCTCTAAGTCAGTAAGTACGAAACACGGGGTGCAGGAGAGAAGGAAAAGCAGATGAAATAGCAACCACTTGTTGCTCGTTCATGTGTTCGTTTCCACTACTGCTAACGTCGTTCATCGATAGTGGTACCAATCGAAGACTGGTCGGCAAAGTCAGCAATAAATCAAATGAATTTGCTATCAAACATAATTTAACAACATCATTCAGTAACTCATTAACGCTAATTTTTACCTTTTAAATTTAACGCATTTCTGCAAACTTTCGAAACTGATACTAATTTTTCGAATTCTTTGTATACTAACGAGTCACTGTATACTAACCAGTCAAATTCTACATATACTAACCAGTCAGCTTTCTACAAGCAGTCTCGCATTCACTATCGAAAAGCAAAATCGCGTGGCAAGTAGAACCCGGTAGTAAGGAGGAGAAGAGGAATCTGAACCATCAGCTAACCATTAGTCTTCTTTCCCGCTACAACATCTCTCAAACTGAGAACCCAGTCCGTCCCATATCCAAATTATCAAAGGCCCACCCGCAAGATCATACATGAATTTATCCTTTTTTACGACTCCTACAAATAAGAGTTGTTAGAGACAAAAATTTATGCGAATTTTATCTGAAAGATTTTATTAACACACTGGAAAACAACCTGCACATGGCTGAAATTGCAAAAGATTCTTGCATCAGTGTCAAAGTAATTCAACTGTTTTTTTTTTTTTTTTTGAGTACAGGCTCGTAGCAGAATCGTCGAAGAAACTGTGAAATTGAACTTGTGAACAAAGTAAACGGGCCCTCCCTCCTCACCATTGAGGAAAAACGAACTGCCAACATTCACAAAGTCGTTTAAGCGGTAGCAGAATACAAAGCGTTTAGAATTTCCCTGCAGAAAAATGAGGAAAGAAAGTAAGGAAGCGAACGCCAAAATCGCCAGAAACTGGTTGACTAGCAGAAGCTTTAGTGGCAGCAACAGCTAGAAGATTGTCAGCTGTGCTGATGGCTTGAAGGACCGCTAAATTGAAACGAAAATTTTCTGCTCGAATAATTCCCGATTACTGTCCCAGTACAACAGGGTAAATTACCTTTACTAAAAGGGTGGGAAAAGACATTTCTACATGTTTCGTTCTGGGAAAGGCACAGAGAACAACCACATCTCATGGTTCACGAAGTGACCATGCAAAAAATGAAAATGTTTCCAGCAATAAAGAGCTTGTGCTCGTCTTTCGCAGCTACTTCAAAATGCCGGAAAAAGTGAGAAGGGTGGAGATATGCGCCCCATTCGCTCGTATGCTACACACACGGTTTAACTGCACTGAAATTTGCATATCGACAAGCATTCAAATTTGCGTACGCCGACATCATTTTGTAAGCGCAACCGTCGAACGGTTGCAACTTTCTGAAATCCAGTGTATTCATGCCGCGGTCGCCCCCGTCAATCAATAGCGAGCGTGACAAACGCGAGTACCACAGCCGGCTGCTGGCCATATTTAAACCGATGGTTACGACTGCTTCCTCATTTCCAGCATCGTCAATACTAGTGTACGGTTTGTTGGCGCTTATTGTTCTCGGAAGTATCCAGCCGACTGACGACTGTGCCTTAATTGGCTCGCTTACCTACTCTGATTGAACGCAGGACCGAGACCATTTGGGCCATCATCTTCGAAACTGCCGATTCTTCGGCCCATCGCTTGTCGACCACTGTTACTCGCTGGCTGAGCTGCTTATAAAAATCCGCGCCTGCCTGAGAACCTACCATTTTGAGTTCTGCTTAATCACTGTAATGGCTATCATTTACTATTTTTCAGAGTTGTCAAATCAAATTCTTAGTTCTTCTATAAATCATTTCTTTGCTGCACTGTTGCAGAAATCTGGTTGAAATAGTTTTGCTCTACTGCATCGTCGAGCCACTGTACATTTCTGATTTGCAGTCAGAAGCCTGAATCTTTCCTGTTATCCATTCCTCATAAGAAACGAAGGAACTCGAAAACAGCCTGGGTGAAAACACCCCCACCAATTTATCATCGAAGCAAATAAATGATGCATAGAGAGACTGTCTTGCGGACGGAACGCTTTTGCAAATGTGTATAAAGAGAGAGAGAGAGGGAATGGAACTCCTCATTTTCACAGCCAGATGTGACGTGCTAATCACTTCACCACTGGTGTGTTGAACATTTGATTTACGCTTATGATCAAATAACTGTGCCTCAAGCAAAGAGCTCAATTTCTTATTTTAATATACCAAACCCAAAAACACAACGTAAACGTAGTTCAACGATAAACGTACGAACACCAAAGTCTAAGAACTCCAAAGAATATTGCAGTTGTTAACGGATCCCGCAGCTGCCGGCTTCCGACGTTCGCAAGCGATCTTCTTATCCTCGCCCAATCCGTTACTTGAAGTTGTAGCCCTCTCTTAGTAACCGCCGTTTCCCAACATCCCCTGTTTTTAGGAATAACTGCTTTTCCTACCTCAGAAGTTCTTACTCCTTCTCCCTCCTTGTGATCCCCTATACATATTTTTTATACACACACAAAACAACAAAATGAAAAATTCTAGAATAAATTTTGTCTATCACTTTTCGTGTTTTGACACGACATTGTGTTCACCAAGCTTCAATACATGCCAGATTTTTGCAGGAATTCTCTCATATTGTTTTGTTCAACCGTCTATTGAGAGCATAACATGTGTTAAGGGGAAAGAATTTGTTTCTTTTTGATTTTCAGACTGATGCAAATTTATTTCATATCGTACTGTAACAGTCACTGGAATTTTCATGGATGATTATCACTGCAGATTTTCTACATGGATTCGCCGAACGAATCGGTCACCGAATCCACTGATGAATCGAGCTCATCAAAGGACAGCGATGATTCTAGTGATTCTAATGATTCCAATGATTCCAATGAATCCCGCGACTCCAGTGACTCCAGCGATACCAGTGTGTCCACCGATTCCAGCGATTCCAGCGACTCCAACGACTCGAGCGAGTCCTATGATTCAGTTACTATTAATGCTGAACAAACTCGAATTTTCGACGGAATCTGGTAAGTCTAAAAGATTTTTCAGGAAAAAATTACCATTACAATTGTAATGGCAAAATGCTTAATGGTAGCGCTTTTTACTAAAATCCATGCTGACTTCTTGGTCTTCGGAGATCTTTCCGAAGTGCATATCAGCACCCCTATTTCCAAAAAAAGCAGTAAGTGCGGGAGGTGATTTTGCAAAAGTGCTGTTGCTCGGCTGGATATGCGATAAGTTTTCACTCAAATAAATATTTTTTTTTTGCTAATCGATTGTGCTGTAGAAACAATCTCCCCCTCCCCCAATCCGCGGGAAGTTAGAAGCAATTCACCGAATTTTTCTACCACAGTCGACGCGACCGTTACTTTCGGATAAGATCCGTCACCATCAAATCTTCATCCCCTCATCGCTCTTTTCCCAGCACACTTCTCATCCGCCTCGTTTAAATTCCCTCTTCTAGGCTCTTCGTTGGATGCTAGCGGACTGCCAAACGGTCCGGCCTTGCAACTCAAATTTTGGGCATCTACTACAACGCAACCGGGGCGGGACAGCTGTTGTTGTAAGTGAGGTAGAAATAGGACTTCAACTTGAGCTTGTGTGGCGGGTCGGGGCCCGGAGGGGTAGGAGGGGGACAAAAACTGGGGTGCTGGTTTGGCTTACGAGAGGTCGTCATTTTGGTCTGAGGAAGCAAGCTGTGTGTCATCATTCGCAGGGTTATTTTCTTCCTCCAAAAACTCACTGAAACAAGAAGTCGGCGATTACTGGCCGCGCAGAACACACTCGTTTTTTAGTTGTGAAAATTGCATTTGTGCACAGGTGTCATGCTTTTTCATGGGAGAGGGGCGGTGAGGTTTTAAAGTATAGGCGAGAACTTACCAGCTTTCCCAGCATTTGGTTTCCTGCTTAGCATCATAACTCATACAACACCCCCCCTCCCCCTCGTCCCTCCTCCTCCCTCTCGTATAATCCCCACCGTTGAGTCCAGTTCCTACAATCAAACAAATTAGTACAGTCCTTCTTAATCCTTGCTCCCCCTCCTCCTTCACTCACTTGCACCCCCACCACGGCACCCCAATTTGCCCCCAACTAAGCCTATTTTATTAACCGCCAAAAACGTAATCACTAAAACTCGGCTCGGCTCAACGGACGTCACACACAAATCGCGAAAACCTTTAATTACGGCGGGTAATGTTACCCAATGCTGAGTGGCGGGAGTTCGAATGA